AAAACAATCAAGAGAGAAAAGCTAACTTATACTATTCGCTACATATTAGTCATGAATTATGTGTGTCAAAGATGTGAAAAATAAAAAACCTTTTAGCTATAAATTAATTAGTCAAAAATGTGAAAAATAAAAAACTTTTTAGCTATAAATTAATTAGTCAGTTCACATAACATCGTCGTATATGTATGATGTAAACCTTCCCTGTCAGAACGCAAATTCAATCTATTTTTTTGCATAAGAATGTGCGCTTTTTCAGAAATTAGTCGTTTATTTAATATTCTCTCATGAACCAGAATTTGAATGTTCTCCCAATCAAAGTCATGATTCCATTCTATCCTGTGATTCGTGATGACAGACTGTGAGTTCGTATTCCAATGATTCCGATGTTCCGTAATTCTCGAGATCAATTTTCTACCCGTTTGTCCTACATAAGAGGCATCACAGTCTTTACAAGTTATTTTGTATATTACATTTTTATTTTGATTTTTGGAGAGAACATCCTTCTGGACCTTAATGAACCTACTCAATTTATTGTTACTATAAAACGCTGGTCTTAAGTTTTCTTTTTTGCAAATTCTTAAAAAATCATTCGATGTATTATTTGTATAAGGAATTAGAAACCAAGGAGTTCCTTCAACCCTTTCCGAATCATCATTATTGGAATTAGAATCTTGTTCCATCCGACCATGTCTAGAAGATAAACATTTTAATCTTAAGGAAATGGTGTCAAAAATGAACTCCATTGGATAGTCATTCCTTAACAGCGTATTAATAACTAATTTAATGTTCTCATGATACAATTTTTCTTCTGATAATAAAATAGCTCTATCAATCATTCCAAAAACTACACCTCTTTTCTGTGACATTGGATGTGAAGATAAGAAGTTCAAATAACGTCTCGAAAAAGTAGGCTTATGGTACCAATCAAATTCTAACATTCCATCATTCTTAATTATTGTCACATCCAAAAAATTGATACTCTCCCCCCCATTTTCCAATGTAAACTGAAGTCTATTGTGAACTGAATTAAAGGCCGTCAAAATCTGTCCAATTGACTCAATTGGAGCTGCCATTACAATATCAACATATCTGATATAGAAAGGAATAGAAAATTCCAATTTGCCTAGCACCTCTGTCTCTAAATCCTGCATCACAAGGTCTGCAATGATCGGAGAGAGAGGTGACCCCATAGGAGTACCAAATTTTTGTTGATAATATTCATCATTAAACACAAAGAAAGTTGATTCTAATACAAAAGATACCGCTCCAATAAATTCTTTTTTAGGAATATTAATACCTTTCTTAATTTCATTCCATCTTTTCTCTATACTCTTAATCGCACAATCAATTGGAACATTCGTGAATAATGAAACTACATCTAACGATATCAAAGAAAAATTCGCATCAATTTGAGTGCCCCTTAATTTTTTTACCAATTGAAAACTATTGTCTATTTTATTAAACCTTTCTACATTTTTAGATATCACTTCATGTAAAAATGAAGCCAGAGAATACAATGGGCTGTCCAAGGACGAAATTATAATTCTAAAAGGCGTTCCCTCTTTATGAATTTTCGGTAGTGCGTATGCTCTCGGTAAAATTCCATCACTACTCCTCAATTTTTGTACATATAGTTATTATTACTTATACTATAGTAATTGTAATCATAATTATAATAATTTACAATTATAGTTACAAACAGTTTATCGCTCAATGCGTAAAACGAAATATTATACCAAAATGCTAAGTACAATTTAGTGAAAGTGACAAAAAAATTGATGGTGATTTCTAAAAAGAAGGATTTTCACATATTTTAATTTCAATATTACGCAAGATTCTCGTTGATTATTTTATTAATGATATTATTATGGTGTTAAATTTTTTTTTCTGCCATACTATAAAGTTAATCTTGTTAGAGAAATCTATTTCCTTTTTATGGAAGAGGTAATATCAAAGTATGCGACATATTACTTGTTGGCAAGAATTTCTTTTGTAAAAAAAATATTTAACATACAGTTCTCTTAAAAAGCAACGTGTAATTTCCATATGCGCACGCAATGTGAGATTAATTTTTTAGCCATATTATTGTAGGTAATGTATTATTTAGGAGGTGAAACTGATAAAAAGTAGCATAAGAATAAAATCATATTGGTTTCGAAATTTATTAGTATTAAAAGATTTAATAAGATTATTTGTGACAATTAAGTAATGCTATAAGTAAGTTGATTCGTTTCTGGAACGCCATCGACGTTCTTTTCAATTCTCGCGATTCCTTCATATTGAGCCTTCTTTCTCGCGTCTTGTCGTCTCTGCTCGTCTTTTGTTATAGCGGTCAAAATGAAACCGAGCAGCAAAGCCGAGCATAATCCGATGTGCACCGGAATGTCGCCATACGTGTTCATTAATAATTCTAACGATATAGTGAGTATAATGCCGTAAACGCCGGATGTTATGTTGAGAAGTCCCGCAGGTATATTTTCCGACTCTGGATACGTATATTCGGTACACAAATCATATCCCATAGCCAGATATCCCGACATAAAGTATCTGTAACGAATAATAAAATGTAATAGATATCACCTAAGATTTTTGACGAATAATGTTTAAAATATATATAATGAAATAAAATGTATTAAAAAGAACCAAATAAATATGATAAAACTCTATAGTTGCTTTATATATAATATCACAATTTCAAAATTGATTGATATTAATTGAAGAGATTAAAGAGAGAACCTTAAACGTTAATAAAAACAGTGAGAACGACAATTAGTTTATTAAATCGTTATAAAATGAATTTCTATTGTTTTACGTAATTACGTAATACAAATAAATTTTTAATATTGGCACAAATTTGAATATCGATATGTTACCCTAAGAAAGTCGCCGACACGTATACCATCCATTTTATACCCATGCAAGTAAACACTGCAAATAATATTTGACCACAAAATGTAAGAAAATATACAGTCATGGCAGTTTGTCTGAAAATTGAAAATATATCTAAATTATTAGCTGATGTTTCTAATGCATGATTTATGATAAAGTAAATTTAAATTAGATTTTTATTTATGACGATTGCAAATATTTTTCTTACTTGAACTTATGCGTTTTATCAAGGATGATACCAAAACTAACAGAACCGACCATACCGGTGAGAGTTATCGCTAAGCCAATTCTGCCTGCATCTTCTTCTCCATTCTAAAAAACATATGTGCGATCGTACATATATCTTGCCCTTTATATATATTTGCAAAAATATATGAAAATATTTTCAGATGTTAACATAAATTTATAAATATTTGTTCGAATTTCTCTCATTTTATGTTTGATCTGCTGCATCGAGATTTATTTGCCCACCTCGAAATGTGCGAGGAATATCTGATTCAGTAATGTAGACACAGCATTTAACACGGCGACGTTCAAACCATAGGAATTACAGAGCATGATGTAGTTTTTGTTTCTGCAGAGCCTTTTAATCGGCTCCACGAATTCTTCTCTTTTCTCCATTCGATTCATTTTTTGCAGTGCCCGCGTCTCGCTCGGCGGTATTTTTGGTTCGTTCTGAAATACTGATATGAAAGCATATTGAGAAGATTAAAATGCGATAATCTTTCCTGGGGTGTGAGCGATCTTTAATTATTTAGCGGTTTATTGTTCTTCTTCCTCTTCTCTTCTCCTTGTGTATGGTTACCTAAGATAAATAAAAATAAAAACCCGGATAAAGGGTCTGAGATTAAAGTAGATTATTAGCTGTACTGGAATATTTGTCTACGTTAAAAGTTTGATGGATATATTGAAGGATGGCTTTTTTAATTGATACATATAAGGGAATACTTCGGGTTAAAGAATACACCGATTATGAATGATTGTCTAAAAGACCCATTCAAACTTCATTTACAAAAAGTGAACAGGTTACGTACATAAAAATGTAAATTTTATGTTATATATAGTATATGTAATTCATATATATAATTTGACTCTTTATTATTTTATTAAGTTAAAGAATGATTACCTATGTGTGGGAAAATATAAAAAAACTAGAAAAACATTTTTCTTATCAACTCAGATCTTTTCCATTTTATAGAGAATTATTCACTTATACTAACGAACTACTTGTTCTATTAATAATAGATGTTAAACTTACGTATAAGCACAAGAGCGAGTACAATTGTGCTAATTATTGCGACTGTCCAGCATAAACGTGACAAATCTTCGCCTATGTCATTCAGATTGTTATGATTTTTCACTATTATAGGCCCTAAAAGAAAACCCAACGCTATTCCCACTTGATTGCCAAAAATACCCAAAGATGTGGCGGTTGAGAGTTGGGTTGGAGGAAACCATTGCGCGGCCAAACGTCCTGGTAACGGTAGGACCATAGTCTAATATATAAAATGAACTAATTACTACTTTTAAATAAATATGTCAGAGGATATAGAGTAACAACATAATTATAAGGAAGAGGGGAAAAAATTCTAATGATATCAAGATTTTTAGAGATTATTTAAATAATTCAAGAGATGTCACCTGTGCGAGTGCGACTATCGAATGACCAATGAAAACAACATAGAACCTGTCGGGTTGAACGGACAATATTTTTATCCAAGCACCCAAACAGTTAAGACCGGCCCCTATGATGATGGTCCATCGCAGACCGCACTTGTCTGTCACGTACGACGCTGGAAATATAAATACTGCGTAAATTGCCATAAATGACATCGAGGTCCAATCAACCATCATTGAAGACACTCCATAATATCTAAATAATACACAAAAAAGGTCATTGACACGTTTATATTCAAAATTGTTCATATTTTGAAGAAAATATGGTACCTAGTGACTACGTTGGTTATAATCGAGTATTCTATCCATTGAGAAGAATTCGTTCCATTATAAATCATGTAGATGATCAGCATTAGCCACCTCTTTTTATACACTTTCAACTTTAATGGTTCGATGTCGGTTGATTCGCCAGACTTTGTTATTTTTGTTGGATCTTTTGCTGTGAGTACCTCGCTTTGGCTTTTATCTTCCATTATTATTTTCACTCTCTTTCGTAAAATAAATTCCGTTAAATATAACTTTGATGTATATTCATTTAAGTTAAAAAAATTTAAATCCTGCACTTTTCTCAACTTATTTTTTCAATAAATGTAGGGGTATTTAATTTCGGAATGCGTTGTATACATCGAATTGCACAATTTTACAATGTTAAGGGCTATAGACAGAGTGAAGGCCTGAAAAACCGGGGGTTCTTTGGTAATTTTTTTTAAATATATAATAAAGTCAGGTAATTTTATTTTATGGTATCTTTATTCTGTCAGTACTGAAGTACGCGTAAACAAATTTTTTTTTGTCTCGGTTACTAGAATTAAGGCTGTTGTACAAAGGGTAACCTTGTACAGTTACTTTTGCCTCGTTCACAATGAATCGACTATATGCGCTGTCTGAAACAAAAAAATAAAAAATTGTGATAGTAAAAAATGAATATAGCTATAGCCGGACGTAGGGAAATTACAAAATCGTAAAAGTAACAAAATGAACACGTAAATCTTTTTTTAATTTGGCCTTTTTTTGTAAAAAAAGAAAGTTGAATAAAATTGTGAAATTTTTATTAATTAAAAAACGGCTACGTCCGGCGATAGAGGTAAGTTTTCTGAATAAAATGCAATTTACACCAAGTCAATAGATCGAGTAGATTTTTTTATTTGCTGTCAACCAAGTTGCAAAAAATAATTTTAAGAAAAACGCATTTGAAGTTTTACTTTCAGATTATTGTATGTTAACTGCGCATTAAATTAAAAATTTAAGTTACTTACTCTTATTCGGCAATCTCTGGACCATATAATAGCTTTTCCGCATCTAAAAATGCTTCTTCGTCGACGCCAGAAGCAGTTCTAGCGCTTGAATGACTTTTGTGCGTGTAGCGTAGACCTGTCAGCGAGATACACGCATTCTTCGTCTATATAATGACAATAATCATACACTGCTTGACCAATTTGAATGTGTAGAAGCTCCAATACATCCAGAATTGCGACATGATCATTATTAAATAATATTGTAGCGACATTGGCAGCAATTTGGACGATGAGGGTACCGACAACTGCATATACTTTTCCTCCCCTCTCTACACTCTGACCCCTCGTACAATTCGGAGAAGGTCGAGGCGCGCCGCTTATACCTGCGCTCTCGTGCTCTACCGCGCTTTGTCATACAAAAATTGCTCCACGAAAACTGCTGTATCTCCGTCAATTTTTGGAATATCTCTTTAAAATTTGGCATATGTATTCTCGATACGTATATCTTTCAAAATATTACAAAATTAAAAGATCGATTTTTTTCAAAATTTTACCCTGTCTATAGCCCTTAATTGCACTATCAAAGATTTCCTTATCAAATCTTGAATAGCCATCTTATAAGCGACGTGATTTAGAATCGTATTTTACGTTACAAAATTTTGCACATTTCATGAATTGATTTGAAAGTCACGCTATGATAAAAGGATTGGTGCTGATCATGATTGTCTCGAGCACTGTACGGCTGTGGCCCGAAGATCCATGTGCTGGATTTCATATTTCGATTGGAGGCCTGCCGATTATTTCATTAAAAAAAAAAGAGAAAAAAAGGTGCAGGGTTTAATTTGTGTTTTGCGACCACTGTTACAGACTTTCTTTTTGTCATTAATATTTGACCGACATAAAGTGTCAACACAATCACAGAGACCTTTTTATTATTATTACAATAATTACAAGATTACATACAGTGCGAACAGAATTACAAATTTTTGTATTATTCGTAAAATAACATAAACTGCGAACATAATCATAGACTTTCTTATTAATTTCCACGTAATTTGCAATTAATAAATACCCCACACGAGCGAACTGGAGATTTTTCCTGTCTGCTGGGGAACTGGAGATTGGTCCCGAAAACTGGAGTCTCCAGTCGAAATCTGGAGACTTGGCAACCGTGGTGTTGATTGAAATTGAGATAAAATGTAACTGCTCGTCTTGTAATATTTCCGTTGTACAGATAGACTTGTTTAATGGCACACGACAAATTTACCTTATCTATACATGAACAGATAAAATGACATTATTAGCTTAAAGATTTAAAAAGATCTGTATTTAGTCTCTTATCATGATTTTTATCAGATTCTGAAGCTTATATATTTTTGAATTTCAACTACTGTGCGATAGCATCCGTTGTTTATTTTGTTCTCGTTGTTTCGAGCAATTCACACGTGTAGTGTAAATATAAAATGCATTACATTGTTACATAAAATATGTGCTATTGCATTTATGTTCAAGCAATTGAGAATATTAAGACAAATATATGATATTAATCATGCCGTTGGATTTAATAAGTTTATACGAACGAGATAAATATCTAACTCATGTGACATGATATTTTCTAATGAGTGCAGAATATCGGACTGAGATAAACTATTATACATTAAAAATTTTCTGGAGTTTTACAATATATCACGTAAAAAAAAGGAGACAGAGATTCATAGTAGATTCACGATTTTTTATTCTCTTATCAAGATTTTAAATACTTTGGATAGATGTTATTGAATCTGCAATCTGCATATTGACTCAAGAATTTGCATTTCCAAAATATAATGTCATTTCGTATGATTATAATAAAACATCGTTTTTTGGCTTTTTAAAAATAGATACAATTGCGATTGATTATTATCTTCAGAAATGAAGCTAGAAGGACGTTTAACGACTCACGCAGATTGCCTGACTGTTTGCATAATGGTGTTTTACACCAATGTGTTTAATAACGTATTAAGCTGTATAATATCTAATATTAGTAAAACAAAATTCTTTTTGCTTCTTACTTTGTTTAATGTACCAAAATATATTTAAATCAATTCTGTGAACGTATTTTAATGTCATACTTTTGCTCTTTTCTCAAATGTTTCAATTTTTATATATTTTTTATTATTTTTCTCGATTATTTAAAAACCCAGATGTGATAGAGCAAAATTACGAATTCGGATTTAGTGATTCAAAAATATATACCTACTCTGGTGTTTTTTTTAAAAAAAATTTTTTTATGATTCTGTGTGTGTTATTAACCTAGAAGAAAAGAAAGAATAAACACACTATCAAATTTAATCCTGAAATGATATGGAATATGTAGTTGTGGGTGTTCCCTCATGCACTTAAAGAAAATATATAATAAAAAAAATAATAACGCACTAAACTGATGACGAACAGAATTGCTTAAAACTTGACTCCCTTTGTCTTAGCTTTTAGTGTAGATTGTAGTTTTATGGTAGATTAGATTTTTTTAACGACCACTGAAGGCATAGCTTAGCACTCAATGACCTCGCTCACTTGTAAATAAAATTTACGTATCGACAGCATTCTAGGATTACAGGTACATAATTAAAAAAAATCTTGCACAACAAAATATTTAGAGAGAAATAGCTTATTAAGATAAAAAATGGTGTATAATAAGATAATAAATCTTGAAATGGATATTTTAATGTTACTTTTAGAAAATAAAGCATCAGTTAAAATATCCAATTTTTAAGTTGGAAAAGTCTTCCATAACTCACGCAGATTGCCTGGCTGTTTGTTGCACAATGATACTTTACACCGGTTTATTTTATGACACATTAGGTTATATAATAGGCCTATCCAATATTAGTAAAAAAATTTTTTGATTCTAAGATTAATCAATATTCTTTACTTATTATAAAATTTATATTAAATATGAATAATTATTATTCAAAAATGTGAGAAGTTGCACATATATTACACTGTGACATTCAAATATATCATACAAAATATATGATAATATTATTCGCATAAAGTTAAATTTCATATTTTAACATACGAAGTACATATGGATATCATATCAATGCGGTTATCAAATAGCCCCATAGAGAGTTAATTAGTATCAAAATAAGGAAATTACGTACGTCATGAAGTATGGCTTATTGCACGCTTAATTGTAGCACAATACAAATCTCGCCTGGGAATTTTCCGTTGCAAAAACGGAGAGGAAGGAAATTACGAGAATATTGCAATACTCACTTTTCGTTGGAGAACACACGTCGTTCCAGAAGAAACAAGAGAATATATCTTACTTCGCGCGCGAGATAAGCTACTAAATTGAACTTTATGCATTGTACATCGGGGAATTTTGGTATTGTGATATTGACTTTACTCCTCGGGTTTCTGTGAGAAAAGATGTATAAATAACACGTAATATGTTTTCCATCGATGTGAGAATTTCCACGCGTCAGAATTTTGTGACACTGGAAAACTCGATATGCGACGGCACATCCTTCCAGCGCGATGATTCGGATATGAAACTGTGAACGTCGCTCACAGTCGGTTTAATGGATAAAGATAAAATCTACGCGCACCTCTCGCGACATCTCGTTTGTCTTTTACATTCGATACCGGACTAATAATGGAATAAATATCATTACAAAATTTATAAGCAGTAAAAAGACAATTTTATAAATTGGATTTTATATACGAATTGTTTTGAAACGAATAGAATAATAATTGTTAGCGAAGCTATTGACGTAGAAATGTAATGTCTATGTTAAATTACTTTATTAGTTTATTTTTGTTAAAAAATATTTATAAGTTGTTAGGTGTATAAATAAATTTTTGCAGTTTTTTAAAAATATATTTATTAATATAAATTTTGATACGTTCTATTTCGATACAATATTTTCATAAGTATCATAAATTATTCTGGTTGCTTCAATGGTGAATAAAGAAGTATGCAATAGCAAATAAGCACCTTTTCAGTTTATTTACAATTAAACTAAAAATGCAGTTAATTGTCTATGAATTGTTATACACGAAATGTTAATTGATCAACTTTATTAATGGAAAAATAATTGGATGCGAAAATTTAAACACACCATTGTTATCATTATTTAAAATTGACGGGAACTTATTTATGCATCTATAATAATTTGATTTTTATGACTATATAAAAGAAATATCAAATAATGTTTTTTTATGTGCAATTTTCTGTTGTATATTTCTAATTTTATTTTATCTGGGAAAATTAAAAGTGTAATGCTTTGTATATAACAGAATTTTTTATTGGACGTTATACATTAACAATAAAGGCAACGCAAATGTAATTCTCTTATTCTTACATAAATCTAGAGTTTATTACAAAATTAAACAGCTCTAATGTAATTTTTCTTCATCAATCCGTTCAAATTTTTAAATGCATTGTTATTATTTTAGTCCTTTGAGTATAATGATGCATATCAAAGAAATAGTTGGAACCTGAAAGAAACATCGTAATAGAAACGTGCATTTCATTGTAAAAATATGTGCTCATTGCTTCCGCATATAACTCAGTATTTCGCGCATATGCTTAATACATTTTATTTGAAGAAATGTTATCGATATCTATATACTTTTCGTTTTGCACATATTCTCTGATTATTTATTTTGATGAGAGTCTGTATGAATATGTTACAAATGATCGATTGCTATTATCGTATAATTTAAGGAAATGATCGTCTGGGATTTTATATAAATGTTTAGTTAAATCTATACACATATTCTAAGGGTTATTCGAACTCTTATTACGGTTTTATGTTTTACATTTCTTGAATGCTTGAGATCGCAATTCGCGGTACTATAATTATTAAAGTATGTATACATTGTTCATTATAAACTATTCAATTCACCGAGCAACAGTTCATAGGGCGATGTCTCAAATATAAAAATTGGTGAAAAATCACTTTATACTCCTAGCGTAAGTTATTAATTACACAGATACGTTCATACATATCAAGTTTATGTATACGTATGGTGGCTAGTTTCGAACAGGTATATGTCGTCGTCGGTCGGACGTTTCGCGATGCCTAAATTAATTCCAAAACTTTTTATGATTATTTTTTTCACACTCTATACATATATACGTACATATATATGTATATATACATATATGTATAGAGAGAAAATAACTGTTTTTATGCGTTTTATTATGAATGCTTCTCGGGTTTTGCGATTTTAGAGAAGTATAGGAAATATTGATTGATAAAATTAATAAATTAGGCCACAGTACTAATTATTTCAAATATTGGGTAATTTAAATAGTCGCGTTAGCCACCAAATTGAGCCGTGCAATATACTTTAATGAAGGTCAAATCGATACGTGATTATGAAAGCAAAAACCTTTTACAAGATTGGCAGGCCGATGGCAGTATTCTATTAATATCGGGCCAAATTAAATTAGATTTTATTTTTCATAAACTGTTCGTTTGAGTGGCATGTTATTTCCCAACGTATTCACGGTTGACAATAATAAAGTTTTGTAAATACATCTGTGTTTGAATGTTGAATGAATTACATGATAATTGGATATCAATATAAAAGGTTCTCATATTTCGTCATTTCATTTATTTAATTTTTATTTAACTTCGAAAAGTCTACGTCTCTGATGATGACACATTTCGCCCGTTCTCGTCACATTGCTGAAAAATTATTTCACATTTCAGGATTAAATTTTACATTTTTAATGCAACATTTTTAAGAATAATAAAATTGTAAAGGTTCAACTTTCTCCTTGCCATCTTTTTTCCAGAGTGAAATCTGACATGTTATGAACACATTTTCGTACATGTTTTATATTGTGTATATATATTGTTCGAAAAAATCGAAGCTATTCAGTTGTAAAATGATACACCCTGTAGAAACATGTGATACTCGTGCATAGAAATTTATCACTCAAGTTTTAGCTTACAGATTCTTTGATAAATTTAAAATCGATTTTTTCACAACAAAAATTCTACGAATAACTAACCTTTCCATAATTCTCTAATGCAGATTATAAATTTTGGTGAATATAGATCTTAACAAAATTTATCAAAATAGTTTAATTCCAACCAAGTTGTACTTCAATCGAAGTTTAATTTGAATCTTTGCAAAGATTTAATATTCAATATATTAAAAAGATATAAAAAAAAAGAGACTAACGTTCAATTGAATTTTTGCAGTAAAATTGACTTTAAATTGATCAAAGTATTTGTAAATGAAAGAAAGTAATAAGATTCCCAGGGGAATCTATGGCACCTGGCATACATATCGATGAATAGAGCGAATGGTCTGGATGCGATTAAATTGATTGGAATACGCGTGCGATGAAAGAAAAGCGATTTGCAATGCACTGTGGAGGAACGTTGCCGAATAAAAAGACACGATAAGATGTATCACCGGAAGCGCGGAGGTCTCATTTTATTTTGTCTAATATTTATAGTGAACAGTATGAATTGCCATTAATCGTAGGCGCGATCGAATTAAACTGTAATATTGAACTATAATAAAATTACAGTCTAATACGTCGTCTACAATATGCGAAGTAAACTTGGTTTAAGAAGAATAAAAAATTGACCAATCACAGTCGATTGTGAAAAAAATAATCGACTGTGATTGGTCAATTTCTTACTTTTCTTAAATCAAGCTTACTTCGCACATTGTAGACAACGCATTAGACTGTAATTTTATTATAGTTCAATATTCATCGAACATGCGTCTGATATACATATTTTTTTGTAAGGTAGTTGAACACAATTTTACAAACAATCGCAGAGTTAGTTTATTTAACCAATTCAACTCGGTGAAACGTATTATCGTAACAAATTATTCACGGCTGACGGAAAGTCGATAATATTAATTAATAATATAAGGATATAAGGATACATTATTTACAAGATCCTCGAATACATAATCTGGACTGCGTCCGCGATTAAGCGGTGACATTTGGTTTACTGTTGATCTGTACAAATAACTACTCATCATTCTTGTAATTACAAATTTACAAACGCATGTAGGAAGATATTCGAGAGTAATATGTGTAACAGAATTATATATTCTAACGCCGCTTATCAATAATTATATAACAATAATATGGAACAGATAGATAGGGATTATATTTCGCTCCGATATGTTTTTCTTTTTTCTTATTAATTTAATATTTAATAAGATTTTCTTTTTCTATCGTAACGATTCGTGCGTTATTTCCATAATTTGATCCCAGAACACATGCCGATAGCTTATATAAATGTACATTGTATCAATAATCTCTGTAAAAATATATTTATAAATTTACAGATATCGAAAAATGTTTTAAAATTTTGTCACATGTTCTACGGAGTTCATACATCGTCGTGTGTCCGGTGCGAGTGAATGAGAACGAGTGATTTACCGACCTTTCCCTCAAACGTTCAAATGTGTAACCAAAGTTCTAATCCCATCTGAGAAGGTTTAATTTGAAATATAGGTACGGCATGAAATGATACGAAATATTAGAAGCAGCGTAACAACAAATTATCGTATATAAAGAGAATATATAGTATACATTTATCTGTACAGACAGTCCTGGATGTTCTCTTGAAGTGCGTTTAAACATTGCATTAACGTATTCGCAGATACGCGATTGTGCATCTCGACTATCTGTAATGCAAAGGATTTATAGCTTTTTGCATGTCGAACAAATCCTATTACACTCTTTTCAATTATGCAGTCTCGTAATGCCACCACAGATTTCGAAATGACGAAAATTAAATTTTGAGTTACAGTAAACGTAAGTAAGGTCTTAGCACTTTTTTCATGCAATTTTTTTCTGATAAGATCATCGATCTTGGTATTTGAGTAATATCGAGACAATCATTTTATTTAAAGCTTTTGAATTTTTAAATAGAAGCTTTCAGCGGATAATTAATTTTCACCGAGAAATTTTTTTTGTGCCAATTACGCCCGTACGAACAAAAGCATTATGCAGCATAGAGTCGTAACTCGTTAAATTCGTTCCACACGAAAATCATAATCCTACAAATTTATTATGGTAACGTGTATCTCATAGAAATCGAATTTAGCGAGTTTTAATGAGTTGTCTATCAAGATGTATCTCGCTCATTAAATGTATCTTATCATTGCATCTCCCCGAGAAAGCTGAAGTAGAATCGCTATTAAATAAAAAGTGAACGGGAAAAGGTTAAAGCAGTTCCTCGTTATCGTCCGAAGTACCGTACATCTGCGGTCTCCTATCCAAAAGTCGTTGCTGCTGCTGCTGCTGTTTTAGTTGTTGTTGTTGCTGCTGCTGCTGCTTTTGAAGGAGCGCGATACTGGCAGCTTTATAGTTAATCGGCCCGTACGACTTGTAGTCCACGTCCGCGTAATCGAGATCCGAGAATTCCGGCTTGAACGGCTGCATAAACAGAAAAGCGTAACAAATATCACAGAACGAAAATGACCTATGTTCCAAACAATACGAATGTCTAAAAGACTTCTGCTTTCTGATGTTGCTTTTAAGAATTTAATATTTCTAACTCTTCAGT